TTTGGCTCAGTGGATAGAGCGTCGGCCTGTGGACTGAAAGGTCCCAGGTTCGATTCCGGTCAAGGGCATGTACCTTGGTTACAGGCACAGCCCCAGTAGGGGGTGTGCAAGAGGCAGCTGATTAATGTTTCTCTCTCATCGATGTTTCTAACTCTCTCTCCCTCTCTCTTCCTCTCTGTGAACAATCAATAAAATATATATATTTTTTTTTTTTAAAAAAGAAAAGAAAAAAAGAAAAAAAAAATGCTTCTGGGAGTGACCTCCACAGTTTCTGGCTAACTCCAGATTCCGGGATATTCTGGAGGATCCTGAATGGTCTCAGGCCTGGAGCTCATTCAACCAGCTAGCCTCTGCACAGGGCCAGACCTGGGGGGAAGGCTTTTATGACAGGAATGCATCAGACTCTGGACTTAAGTAGCTCTTTTTGAATTGCCCCAATCTGATATAAATCTCTCTCTGAGCCGAGCTGATTCATTGGCATCTTTCCCTTGGATGCTACTCCATGTGGATTTACCTGGATCTCAAGCACTAGGTCTCCCTCACTACTGAATCAGAGTAAACTGAGTAAACTGAGGTCACATGCATGGAGACACAAGGTTGGGAGAACCCTGTGGTGAACACCTACACGGTGAGCCACTGCCACTTTTCCAATCATGCTCCGGGCTCCTCCACCAATCCGGCTCTTTGTGGAGGACAAACCAAACCACACCAAAAATGGCTTGAATATTTTCTATATGCAGTAGCAAACCTATATTATAAAATATGAACTCAAATTTCAGATCATATTTGACTTATTTTTCTAAAACCAAATCAGACTAGAGTGGTACCCAAATAATTTCTAATTGGATGGTCATTAGCAAATGTGATGTTTGCTAATTAGTTAAATCAAATTAGTCCATTGAAACACAGAAGCAATGGGACTAAAATAAATGTGATGAGCACTATTTTCTCTATTGTGCGTGTGACTGGGGTATTTTTTCTTTATTTTTCTCTTTTAAAATTTATGTCCAAGAAATATAGAGCAACAATGACAACAAACTGGCTATAGAAAGTTGCTTGTGTTAATGGCCAATAAAAATAATAAGGGTGGGGGGGTAGGCGGGGAGAGATTAACTGAGGAACTTATATGCATATATGATAGTCCCTGGACACAGACAATAGTGTAGTGAAGACCTGGGAGGGGTGCGTGCAGGATGGAGGGGTCCAATGGGAAAAAGGGGGGGATATCTGTAATACTTTCAACAATAAAGATAAATTTAAAATAATAATAAGGGAATGACAGTATTAGTGATTTATTTATTTATTTGGTATACATGAAAATTTGGTAGCATACAAATATTTCCCAAACGTATGTATGTATCAAATTACTTATAAGATCTTTCCTTATATTTTATTCATAATAAGATCTTTTATATTTTAGATAATCAAGACTAAGAATTTGAAAATTATTTGGAAAAAAGTCTCTCAAATGGACAAATATTGAATACCACAATAATCTCAGCTACTACTAGAAGGAAATTTGAGAAAGTTCCTTAGTAGCATCTTGGGATGGTATAAAGAAATGCTTGTTGGCATGAACTCCACCGTTTCTATGTACTCCAGAATTGGGCCATCTGGAGATCCCTCACCATCCCATAATTCTTTGCTGAATACACTCAAATCAGAATTCACTGTTTTTATTATTGTGAATTAAAGGCAACCGTTTATCAAGAATATGCTGCATCTCATGTAGTGTTCAAGTAAAGTACTAGCTTTAATCTTCTCAATGTCTTTTTGAGGCAAATACTTGCACCCTTCCTTTTATTTAAAAAGAAAAAAATTAAATATATTTAATAAATTATTTAATATATTTATACTAGTAGTCCTGCACACAAATCCATGTGCCATTGGCTCTCTGCAGGGCCTGGTCGCTCTGTGCCTGCTGCCCAGAGGCCCTATGCAGCCCAGAGGCCAATCCGAGGCCACAGCGACGAAGCAAGCATTCCAACAGGCTGCTCATGCGGCCTGCTCTCAGTGGCCGCCCCCCACCCAGGGCCTGGGGGACTCTGGTGGGTTGAGAGGACTGAGTGCCACCATATTTGTGGCAGAGTGACGGTTAATTTGCCTATCACCCTTTTATTAGATAAGATATTAAATTTTTTTTTTCTTTTTAGAGATAGAGATAAAGGGAGAAGGAAAGAGACAGAAATATCCATGAGAGAGATACATCTACATGGATTGGCTGCCTCCTGCATGCCCCCTGCTGGGGACAGAGTCTGAATCTGGGCATGTGCCCTGACTGAGAATGGAACCAGCGACCCCTTGGTACATAGCTCAAAGCTCAAGCACTGAGTCACATGAAATGGGCTCACTCCCACTGCTCTGGTGAGGAAACTTAGGTTCAGAAAGTTTAAGGAATTGTGAAAGTTTAAGGAATTGTGGGTCATCCAGGGAACGATTCCATTTTCGCACCCCGATGAGGTGGGTTTGGAGAATCCCTATCGCGTGTGAACAAAACAAGACACCATGATGGGGCCTCTGCAGCATGGGGAACCAGGGACCCACCGCTGTCAGTAAAGCAAATGCTACCCTTCCAGAAAGGCCTGGGACTGCACGGTCACGTCTGACAGCTGGTTTGTGTCACTTAAACAGTTTTCCTCTTGGTGCCTTCATCCAAGACTTTGATAAAATACTTATTTTAATGGAGACCAAAAACCGAAGGACATCTTTCCCAGGATAAAGTTTTTGTACCGATCACACCTTGTGCACCTTCCCAGCCAAGGTTTTACGTTCCCAGTTTGTATCGAAAGACAAGAGGTTTTTGAATACGTTTTTCAAGTGGTGCCTTATTCCCACTTTGAGAACCAGGCCACTGATTCACAGCCATTTTTCTTATTCAACAGGTTAGCTACAAACAAGTCCATTTCGCTTTACATGTCCAAAACCTCTTCATCTCCAGCAGTGAGCACGTCTTTTTCATACACTGAAGTCTGTTGTAAAAGTGAAAACATTCTGCTGGCAAAGGTTTTTGTGACAGAAAAATGCCACTTTTAAGAATGTCAAATTCATAAAAATACTTTATCATAAAGGAAAGTAACTGATCAACATCGCCCTGCCTCTCTAAACACTCACAGTGACAGTAAAAGCAATACTCAATGGTGTCCCCCCAAGTTAATTACAAAATGAAAATTCTGCACTCAAAAACACAAATGACCTATAATGAATTTGGATATGAATTAAATTTAGCAGAATGATCAACATTACATAGACCTTGGTCAGTCCTGAGGCATTTATTCTCCCCACACAAAACACTACAAATTCTTTAGAAAACTCTTGTAGCTATGACTAGAGGGTTGCCAAGTAACCCTATTTATTCCATTAAACTGTATAATGGAATCAATTGAAAGACTCTCCTTGAAATTAACAACAACAACAAAAAAAGCTCCTCTTGACTTGGATCAATTTTTCCAGAAAGTGAATCCACAATGAAAAAAATACAACCTATTTCAAGGTGACCAAAGTCCAATAAGCTTCACAGCAAAACACAGGTAGAAGTATGTCATGTATCTCCCCATTTCCAGAATAAACATCCAAATCAATGAATGAACACAGTGGACAAAGATTTTAGCCAAAATCAAAGCCAGGAAAATGCAAGAAACAAATCTGCGCATGGCAATCTTAGGTAGGATACTTGAAATACATATTTTACTCCCCATAGCAACCCCCCAATAATTTGTCAAGTTATACAACGACAAAAATTCTATAAATATATGATAGACTAAATAAATGAAGATCCAATAATTTTCAAAATATACATACATTCTTGATGTTCCTGCAATGTGTAGTAATTTAGTAACCCAATTCCATTCGCATCCTTACTGACATTATCAACATGAAATGGATTTGAATTTTCTGTTCCAAGAATGCCATTGAGTGCATGAGTGTCTTATGCAAACTCTCACAGGAATGATACGGGGCTACAGACAGAGAAATTGGAGATAAGTGAATGTGGGACATGGGACATCAGGTGAGCTCGGTCTGTTTGTGTCATGAGGAGAGAGGAACAGAGATGTGGGGTCCACAGGGTGCACTGCCCATGAGCCGGGAGCAGCTCTCACACACCAGCTGAAGAGAGGAACTGTGTGAGGACATGGTGGGAGGGCTTGTGTAGACAGGTGGGTACTACCCCCTGTGACCAAGGGCAGGGGCAGGAGGCAGGAGGAATGAGCTCTGTGAATGAAAACATTAACTTTGAAATGGAATCACCTTGCTAAAAGAGCACACTACTCCCTCTGGCAGAAGATGCCACAGAGACTTGCTCTTTCACCTTGAATGCATGCCCTACATGCACTCTCCATGATATTTGGAGAATTCAGCAATCACCCGTCTCCACAGCTATGGATAGGCATTCTTGTTGTCCGTTAACGTGGGCTTGCTAAACATCTCAGACAAATGCCATTCAACTGTCCATTCTCTGAGAGGAATCTGCTTTCTTGACCAAAAGGACACTCAAGCTGTGATGCCCACCACAATGTACGTTTTACAGATTACTTGTTCTCTCAGCAAGAAAAAGACATCCACAGTGCAAATCACACCACCGCTCCTCGGCACAGACATCTCCAAGCTTCTACCATGAAACAAGTGATGTGGCCATAAAATATTCAAGCAGAAAAGTCCAAATTCATTTCAATGATAGCACATAGCTAGGATATAAAATAAAACTTTATTTTTCAAGGCCTCCACTTTGTTTTCCCTATCATGGAAAGTGTTGGAGTTTTTTTTTGTTTTGTTTTTTTAGAAAGACCACATTTTTCTTTTGATTGTAACATTTGGGGGACATTATAAAGGTACTTTTAGTAATCTGATCCCTGTTAGAAACTTGGAGAACAATTTTGTATTTAGAAACGAGGCCTGAGTGTTTTTCCAGAGTTTTGAAAAAATAAAGAAGCATCATGTGTGTATTATGCCAACATTCCCCAGCTCTCAGTATCTGGGGCAAGAGTTTAAAAATAGACACTTACCTCCACATCACAGGTATACTCCGAGCCGTCCAGAAGTATCACTTTGCACTGCATGCTTTTCGGCTTCTTGACGATCTTTAGTGGAGATCGAGAGAGTTTGCTGCTATATGATTTCTGGGAGAGCTTATCGTCTTCCAGTTGCTGATATTCGAGCTGTTTTGCAGCCCCGGCAGCAAATTCCCGTTCCCTGTCAGTGACCTGTGAAGAACAATGAATAGTTCTCATTGCCGGATAGGGAATGAATACTGCATTGCTCAGGCAGTACCAGAATCCTTAGAACCAGGCATTGCTATTTCCCAAGGGGTGAGAGACACTTGAATTAGGAAACCAGGAAAGGATATAAATATAGACATTTATAATGCTAACAACTTTACGTTTTGACGTTGAGATGCACTATCAGGGCCTTATTTCAGCTCTACTCAAAGCTGTACTTTGAAGAAGGACCAAACGCCATTGAGACTTCATTGAGCAAAGAAGGAAAGCAAGCAGAACCCTGCGTTTTTAAAAAGCCTTGGATAATATTGGTCTTTTTACAAAAAATCATCTAGATTTTACCTGTTGTATTTAGTTTTCTTCATTCACTGGACCCTTCTATATTCTAAGACCCATAACTACCAAATATACATACAAGCTATCTTATAACTTACAGAATTTCAAGCATTCATTGTCTCAGTAATTCTACAACTGTTAAAATATTTGCTTTAGCTCTAAATCAATTCGATGGAGCCGGCAGCACTGACATTCATCACAAAGTAATCCCCCAAATCCACTTCCCTTCATTGTAATGAGCCAGCAAAAGAACAGAGAAAATCTGCCCAAAAGCATTAACCTGCTTTCAAATCACCACAGTCTAAGTCCAGGCCAGACTCGGAACTGCAGAGGACATCTTAAATTAGCAATAAAATTCTCCCCTAGAATCTCTCTCTTTGGGATCTCTCTGTGCACTGTTCTCTAACTACTCCTTTTACACCCCTTATCTATCAATTAAATGACCACCAATGGTATTAGTGCAAATTCAACTCATGGGCCAGACTGCTGCTCCTCTAGCCTCCAAATACACACTGACAGTCCGAAGAAAAATACCTTCCAAAATTCAGTTTAGGCCCCTTGAATAAGTGTGACATTTCCTCTCTCACGAACATACCATCGTCCCAGTAGCTAAGAGTGCATGGGCTGAGAGCAAGGACAGTACTAACAGTCTATCATTTCAACGTTCCTTCTTCATTAGTCTCTACAAATTTACAGCGCTCTAATATAACCACAACGTTATTTCTCCCCATCTTTACTTCCAATTTTAGGTATAGATTCCTACTTTTGCGATGGCATCTTGTATTACGTTCGGAAGATTACAGATACAGCCATTTCCTCCACTACTTTGCCCAGGAATTCAAGGCAAAGTCTTGAGAGGTTCTAAAGAAGAAACAAACAAAAACAAACCAACACCACTTGCTAAGCAAAGGAAATGCAACAGGCTGGTAGGCCAGGACAAGCGGAATAGGAAAACTGAGACAGACAGTTCAATAAGCAGTGTGCAGTCATCTAGTGAATCCTAAGAGTAAATGGTTTGCCTTTCTCCTCCCCAACCAGAGGGTAGATAGCTTAAATCACCCTCTTCAGGGAGACAGATGGCAGAAATCCAATTAGTGCCATTTGTGTCAATCACACCCAAGGACAGATGAAGTTAAAGGAATCTAATTTTGGCACATCGGCATAAAACTGATGAATATTCTATTGAGATCCTCCCCTAAGACCTCCCCTAAACTCATAGCCTTTAAAACCCCTCAAAACAAAGGTCCCAGGGGCACACCTGAGCCTTTCCTTCCCCCTCCCTCTCTTCTTTCCCCAGAGGCATGCTTCTTCTAAACGCCAAGGAACCCCGGGGGGCTTGCTAACTGGGCAGCAATGGGCAGCAGCAACTCATACGGGGCTTAAGGTTCCCTTTCTCTGACTACTTAGGCTTTGTTTAACAAGTTGGAAGGATAACCTTCATCACAAAACATTTTGGATCAGAGAGACCATCTATCTATAGAATATGAAAATAAGTGTTTTTCTCAATCTTATTTAAAAGCAAAACTTAAACAAGATGGGAAAAAGAAAGAATCAGGTGGGAAACATATGCTTTTGCTTAATGTTATAAAAATGTGCTGTGCCTTCCAGAGGATTTCACTAACATGCTGACTTCTTCTCTCACCTGGTCTAGAATGTCTAGCCTTGACCCACAGACATCGACCTATGAAAAGCAAACCGTTTGCAGGGGACTCTAGACTTCCTTCGCACATGTGAGCCAGCGCTCTAAAACATGTGGATTCCAGGCCTGATGCTTTCAGCCAAGTACATTTTAAACATGGATGCATTCAAGTCCAAGGTGTAAACCACGCTTTATATTTTATATGGAAACTTTTAAAAGAAATCGTCACATTACACGTGACAACCAAAATGTCTGGCATGCCAGAGTTAAAAAGACAGATGTATAATATATAGGGGAGGGAAAGAGACTGACCTGAACATCCACTCAGAGTAGCTGGTAACATGTTTAGTGTGACTCCTGAGAAAAACCAAAATAGCTCTAACCCCTCAGCTTGCATAAAAATCAAGAGCATCTATCTATAATAATGAAAGCATAATATGCTAATTAGGCCAGACAGCATAATATTCTAATTAAATATGCTAATTAGACCAGAATGTCCTTCTGGTCAAAGCCCCCGCGGCTGTGAGGGCCCAGAGCACGCTGCGGTGGTGGCCGGCAGTGGCAGCAGCGGTGGGGTGATGGGGGCGGCACCTTCTCCTGACTGGCCCAGTTACCTCCCACAGATGGAGGCCAGACTACAGCTTAGGCCTGCTCCCCACTGGGACATCTCCTGAGGGCTCCCGGACTGTAAGAGGGGGCAGGCTGGGCTGTGGGACTGCCCCCCCCCCCTCCAGTGCATGAATTTTTGCACACTGGGACTCTAGTATGTGTGTGTGTGTGTGTGTGTGTGTGTGTGTGTGTGTGTGTATATATATATATATATATATATATATATATATATATATATATATATGGCTAATATGTCAACTGTACCCTTGAAAGATTGACAGGGAGACCGGGATCTCGATCACTTGCTATAATGTGCGCTGACCACCAGGGAGCAGCGTGGAATGAAGGAAGGCCTTGATTGGGAGCTGGGGTAGGGAGCCCCTAGTCAGCACCCAGAAGGAAGGCCCCGGCTAGCAGCTGGAAGGCCCCAATTAGCCCTGATCACCAGCCAGGCCTAGGGATCCTACCTGTGCATGAATTTTGTGCACTGGGCCTCTAGTATGCTATAAAGAACAAAGAACTTGCTGAGACCGGTTTGGCTCAGTAGATAAAGCATCGGCCTGCTGACTGAAAGGTCCCGGGTTCGATTCCTGTCAAGGGCATGTACCTTGGTTGCGGGCACATCCCCAGTAGGGGGTGTGCAAGAGGCAGCTGATTGATGATTCACATTTATGTTTCTAACTCTCTATCCCTCTCTCTTCCTCTCTGTAAAAAATCAATAAAAAAAAAAAATAATAAAAAAACCCCACAAAAAAAAACAAAGAACTCTTACAATTCATAACAGCATGGATGAACCTGGAGAGGATTATGCTAAGCAAAATAAGCCAGTCAGAGAACGATAAATAAATATCACATGATCTCCCCCATTTGTGGAATGTAATGAACATAAACTGGAACAAAAACGGATCCAGAGACAGAGAAGTATCAAATTGAAGATCAAACTTCAGAGGGGAGGTAGGGGAGTGGGGGAGGGGTAAGAGATCAAGCAAAGAATTTATATGCGTGCACATGAGCATAACCAAAAGGCACAGACACTAGGGGGGTGAGGGCATGTGCTGGGGGCTGGGAGTGGCTGGGGAGAGATCAATGGAGGAAAAAAGGAGACCTATGTATACTGTATGTAATATTTTAAACAATAAATAACAAAAATAAAATAAATAAAATAAATCAAGAGCATAATGAAAGCTGGCAGTGTGGTGTCTAGCCTTTCTGTAAACCCAGATAAAACCAATAATTTGCTGTCCAGCTTTCAGTGTGAGTTTAAGAGTTTTAATCAAATGGAGGAGTTACCAAGCAAGGAGGTGGAATGCCATTCATTGAAGCCTTCGCATAGAGTAAATGTTCATTTGCCCAGGACCAGAAGGGGCAAAGCAGATGGCCCCTCATAGTTCCCGCCAGTGCTAAGAGACCAAGGTCAGATCAGACCCTGAAAATGCTCAGTAAATATTCTTTCATTGGTTTTCTGGCTGCCGCAGGGGTGTGGGGCCCCAGGGGAGTCTTGGGCTCACCTCCTTCCTCACGGGGGTGCTGTGCGCTGCGGCGGCCGCGAACTGCTCCAAGGCCTGGTGCTGCTCCTCTGGCCCCGGCGGTGCCCTCTCGGGACCCTGCGGACCCGCTGCCTCCTGGGGGTCGGCCTCCTGCTCGGGCTTGGATTCTGAGTCTGAGCCAGATTCGGTCGTCATGGTTGATTGTTCTGCAAGCAGAAGAAGGGAAAGTCCCATCATTGGGGTGCAATTACCTTCCCTAAACAAGAAAACCAGGAAGCTACCCTTCCCTAAACAAGAAAACCAGGAAGCTACACAGGACGGCTGCAGAGAACCACAGTACAAAGATGGCGACATGCGAACAACCAAAACATGATCCTACCGCACACCACTAACCAAGGACTTGTCAAATTTAGCATGAAGCTGGGTGGCCAGGAATGGCTCAAAATTAACGTTTAACTGAAGTAAAAGTTGATTTGTTTTATTCACCGATTTTATTCCTATCACATTTTTGATAATCTAATTATGGAAGTGCATATTTTTTTCTCATCTCCTTTCTCCTCCCTATCTCTAAGGACCCTGTTCTCCCTCTCCCACCCCCTGAACCTCTCCACACTTGCATGAACAAATGGCTTTCTCTTTGATTTCTCATTGAAGCAACTACAGCAGAGGCTTCTCCAGTGACAGGGCATCTGTCCCACATTGGACAAGCGCCGGCCACAGCTGGAGGGAAGCTGGACAGCGTAGCCTCTTCTTCCCTCACAAGTTCATTCTCACAGGCGTATTCCTGGCTTCCTTCTGTCTCCCTTGAATGCTGAAAGGGAAATATCTCATACACTCAAAACCACAGATCTTCATTTATAATAATCGGCTCTTACATCCTAAAAGAGACTTTCTAATATAACCACCATCTTCTAAGCATTTGCTGGTCAAGACGCTTAAGTATGTTGTGCCCAGTTTCTACATCTGCTAAATGAGGGGACTGGACATGATCATATCTAAAGGACATATTTTCTGTTGCTGCTTTCTCCTCTACGAATAGACATGCCATTTTATGAAAGCAGCTGTTTGCTCTAAGCAGCCACAGAGCTGTGATGCCTGTGGTTAACACATGTCATTGCAAGTCATTTCTTATCTTGGGTATGTGGGAACCACCTCAACAAAAAATATCTCAGATTGTCATAATTTTCTCCTTCCTGATTCTAATTTTATGATAAAAATATCATGAGCAAATGGCTAGTTTAAGCACACAATATACATAATAGTGTAATGTAAAATTATGCAAACTAAAACTCTGTAGTAAAACTATTTAGTTCCTACCATCAAAAACAATACTGGAATATGTCTAATAATTGGAAGGGGAAACATAAAAATTAAATACCAATCTAGGTAATAAACTAAATGCTTTATCCGTGCTTCTATGTACGGTTACTTTCTACAATCACCAGGTATTCTTTCTGTGGAATAAGAGACATATTAACTTGACATGTACTCAGCTGCCCAAAGTGTATGTAAATTTCAAGTCCAACTTCAGAGCAAGATGATAATCCAAATAAAAGTAACACATTTTTTTCCTCTTACATATTGGATTTTCAAACAAATCTTGAGAGTAAATATTACATTATCTTCTGTATATTTATACTGAGAAGTGGTATGAGTCTACAGATAAAAACAGTGGAGCCTACAAGTGAATTCCTCCTTTCAGAAGCAGGGAGATTAGTGTTAATAGTTCAATTCATTAAATGATTATTAAGTAACAAATATGTCAAGCACTTCTCATAGTTTAGAAACAGAGATGAATATGTCATAAAGCCCCTCCCCCACCCAGTAATCTGTGGCAGTAATAGACACTGCTAGAGTCCATTTTTTTAATTTCTCCTTTTAGTAACTAAACTTTCAGTTTTTGCTAGTACTTCTCCATCCAGCTTGAGTTGTGCCCATTTGATCAAGTCTCACCAATGAGATAACAGAGAAAATGTACTCAATGTTTAGGTCATCATCATAAAGACAAAGCCACTTAATCTCCCTTTCCCATTGGCTGGGAATTAATAACTTACATGGTCCTCCCACAGACCCACTCATGGAGGCCCCAAGTTCGGGAGGATGCCAGAACTGCCTCTTTCGAGCTGGGTCCCTGGATGACCTTATGGAGTACAACTCACCTGCTTCGGATTGTTACATGAGATGGAAATCAACTTCTGTTTTATTGGAACCTCACCCAAACTAAAATAATCTACAGACTAAAAATCTACTAGTCATAGTCTAGTGGAGCCAATCTTACTAAAACAAAGTAGTCTTCCCTTGATCTTACTCCCTCCATCAGCTACTACCATATTTCTCTGCTTTCCACTCATAATTTCTCAAAAAATTGCTGTTGACATTTTACCATCTTATGCTTCCTTCCTCTTTGCCACCACTCCTGTCTGACTCCATGGGGCTGGCTCTTGTGGGTAATGCAATGGGCCAGGCGCTCTAGTCTATCTGGACTCATCTGAGCCTTTAGCAGCCCCAACCTGGCAATGAGGCTTTTCTTGTCAACAGGTCTCTCTCTTCGATTCAGAACTCACCACTTCTAGCTCTCTGGCTACTCCCTTTCATTCTCTTTCACAGGCTTACTCCTTATCCAACCTCTAAATATGGGAATATCCCAGAAAATGCCATTCTAGACCCTCTTTTTCTTTCTCTCTACATTCCCTCTCCAGCTTGTGATATCCTTTTTCAGAACTTTAAATACTTTCCATGAGCCATCAATTCCTGCATTCATATCTCTAGTCCCAGCCTCTTTTCTGAACATTTAAAACTCCAACTCCCCAGTTGACATTCCTCACAGGTGTCTACTGATTTTTTTCTCCCAAATCTGAGCCTCTCCTTACCTTCCTCACCTTTATAAATGGCAATGCCATTCCTTCAAGCCAGAATTCCATAAGTTACCTCTGACATTTTCTTTTCCCCGACTTTCCTTATCTAATACTAGAGGCCCAGTGCACAAAATTTGTGCACAGGTAAGGTCCCTAGGCATGGCCAGCATTCAGGGCTGATCAGGTTTCCCGTCTCCACACCTGCTCCTTCCCTCATTCCCAGGTGCACAAAATTTGTGCACGGGGAGTGTGTGTCCCTCGGCCACCCTGCACCCTTTCCAATCTGGGACCCCTGGAAGGATATCCAACTGGGATTGGGCCTAAACGGGCAGTCGGACATTCCTCTCACAATCCAGGATTGCTTGCCTTCCTGCCTGCCTAATTGCCCATAACTGCTTCTGCCTGCCAGCCAATCACCCCCTAACAATTCCCCTGCAGGCCTGATTGTCCCAAACTGTCCTCCCCTGTTGGTCTGGTAACTCCTAACTGCCCTCCCTTGCCAGCCTGGTCGCCCCTAACTGCCTTCCCTTGCTGGCCTGGTCACCCCCAACTGCTTGCCCCTGCAGGCCTGGTCGCCCCTAATTGTCCTCCCCTGCAGTCCCAGTCTCCTCCAATTGCCCTCCCTTGCAGGCATGGTACCTCCCAATTGTCTTCCCCTACTGGCCTAATTGCCCACAACTGCCCTCCCCTGCAGGCCATCCTGTGGTGGCCATCTTGTGTCCACATGGGGGCAGCCATCTTTGACCAGCAATCTTGTGTGTTGGAGTAATGGTCAATTTGCATATTACTCTTTTATTAGGTAGGATAATAGTAATAATAATAATAATAATTTATATAGGATAGGAAAGTTCTGCAAAATATATAATTTTGTAAATATATATTAAATATATATTCTTCCAAAATACAACTGACCATTGCCAAGGGTCAAGGGCACTAAACTCCTGACATGGTAAAAAATCTGCATATAACTTTTGACTTCACATAAAAGCTTAACTACTAATAGCCTATTGTTGACCAGGGGCCTTACAAATAATACAGTTGATTAACACATATTTTGTAAGTTACATTTATTTTATACTGTATTCTTATAATAAAGTAAGCCAGAGAAAAGAAAACATAATTAAGAAAATCATGAAAAAATAGATTTATAATACAGTACTGCATTTATCAATATTGTGTTTATATAATCTATTTACAAGATGAATAACCTCAGTACCTATGTCAACATTGTCTTTATGATATAAAAATACTGTAGATATTATAACACCGGATATCACTAAAGAAAAGATTATAAAAAAGAAATCCATATTTATTTACAGATATAATAATTCATGTACTGATAACAAAGAAGCAACAATATAAATGCTTTATGGTCGCCTAGTGTAATTCATACCAAATCTCAAAAAAAAAGTTATCCAAATACTTACTGAAATTAATCTACATAAGTGGATATTTGCAATTCAAACCTGTGCTGTTCAAGGATAAACTGTCTATCTTGAGTTGGTTTCCTGCTACTAAGCAAGCCTTCATTTCTCTTCTGGATTTTTTCAATAATCTCCTCTTCCCTGCCTCTATTCCTCTATTCTGTCTGATCTTCATAAATCATGAATCATTTCTAATTATATCATGTACTACTGAAACCTTTTAATAGTTTCCCCATGAGCTAATAAGAACAAAAAATCTTAACCCTTTTAAAAAAAAAATGTTTTTACTGATTTTTGATAGAGAGGAAGGGAGAGGGAGAAATAGAAACATTGAGGAGAGAGAAACATTGATCAGATGCCTCCTGCATGTGCCCTACTGGGAACTGAGCCCAAAATCTGGGCATGTGACCTGATTGGGAATGGAACTGGGACCTCTTGGTCCATGGGACGACACTCCAACCCACTGAGCCACACCAACCAGGTCCTAGATGACTAACTTAATTTTCTAGTCTCCGACTTCCTCTTCCATAAAATGAGGGGTTCAAATCTGAAATTAGTGATGTAGGTGAGGGGTGTGTGTGCGTGTGTGGGAGCGGGCGGGGAGAGGGGAGAAGAGAGATAGTAGCAAGAAACTTCAAAGCCAACAAGTCTGTCACCTCTTTCATTCTCTTCCAACTTCCTTACTACTTTTTAAAAATAAGGAGTTTTTACACAAATACAGTTGCAGTAGATACATCATTTATCAGTGCACTCTACATTTTAAAAAGCTGTCAAATATATGTTAAAATAGAAGCCTTTCTAACCCCATGACATTAGCCTCTGAACTCACTATACATGAAATAAAAGGGCAAGTTTAGTAAAATAAAAAATAAAAAATTCTAATAGAGATTTTCAATGTTTTTATTCTGGTCATGAA